TTTTTTTATCTTAGTAGTATTCCTGTTCTATTTAATAGAGGAAAAAATATTTTTCTGCCATTTATTTTATGTTATTACTTTGAATCAGAGGAACAGCATATGAACTTTATAAGATCTTTATAAGAAATCACATCGTACATTTTTAAATGAGATATTGAATATCTTCATTTTACAAGGGAAGACTGCATGTGGCTGTGGGGTCATTAATTAGATTTGCAGGTTATTTGATAGCTACAAGAAGCATAATTGAAAACTGGTCAGAGAGCTTACCCTGGTGTCTGACAATATCTGTCACAGCGCAGCCATAAAATAGTTATTGGAGTTTAGGGGTCACCTATTGTGGCATGGTAATGCACTGTGCAAGGCAGGGAAGTCTGCCCTGTGTCAGTGCTTTGGGCACTAATAAAGAACAAAGGTAACTGCAGGCTGAGGGTATGCTGTGCTGAGGAGGGCTGGGGCCAGCATTATATCAGCTCCACAGCATCGTGTATGTGGGTTTGTAATGAGCTGTAAAGGTGTGACAGGCTTTTAGTTTTTCTAGGTATGCTTTTGCAGTTCGTCACTGGCACTACTGTAGTTTTCAGGAAATTTTAGGTGGTAGTGATTGGTTTCTGTGGGCAGGAGGATGGGTTGCTTTTATATGGCCTTTTTTTGTTGTTTGTTTTTACTAAAGCCAGATGTGTGTTGACTGTGTAGTTTATATATTTTGTATGTTCCATTGATTTCCACCTCCCATGGCACTATCCATTGCAGTGCTGCATGTGTAGTAAAACCTGATATTCTTATAACACGTGATTTCTTCTTTACAGATCAGTACACATTTCATACCTGTAATTGTGTAAAGCCCAAAAATATGGTGTTCTGTGGATGTAAAAGATGCCAAAAGCATTGCTCAGTAAGCTGAGACCAAGCAAACTGCCCAGCCCACATTTGCTCTGACTGGTTAGTGGGGAAGTCTGGCAGTGCTGTGTAGGCAGTTTCCATAAAATTTGTGGAAGTGGGTGCCTTTCAGGCAGGGGTTTAAACATCTCTGGGCAAGGGCGAGAGGAACCTCCTCCGAAAGCAGTTACTGCTCAATCCATGAGATAATTGCTCAGTTGTGTAGTTGTCTGGGTGTTTGAGGTGTAGGCTATAGGACCTGCGAGATAAATAGGAAAAGGGACTTTAGGGCTGGGTTGCAGAACGTGTAGGAATTGTTCCAGGCATTGCCCTGTGTGTGTGTGTTCACTGCTGTGTCTCACAATTAATGGCATGTGTAGTTTGGATGTATTGGTGCCTGTAAGGTCTCTGGCCTTGGCTGTGTTAATTAAATTTCACATAAATGGTAGCCAGATGACACACTTATCTGCAAGGAAGAATTAAGAACAAATTACATGGGTTATAAAGGAGATTTTTCACACTGTTATGTCTGTACCCAGCTTGCAGCTCCAAGCAGTTCTTTGGCTCAATTCTGGGATGTGATTTCTGAGTTAGGACAGGGTCAGGGAGCCAAATTCCAGGTGTTACATGTTGTTACTCAAAGAAATGAGGTGTCATTTCAATGGCCAGGACGTTTCTGAAGTAGCTAAACGTGGTGGAAGGCCTTGTTTCCCTTTGTGCATATGGCTGCTGCAGCTGTGTGAATGTTTTCAGCAAAGGTTGTAAATGCTGCAGGAGCTGACATTTCCAGTGGACCTTCCAGGAGAGGAATCTCCTTCCTCTGAGGCAGCACAAATCAAATTAGCGAAGACTGAGTTCTTTCTTCTAATTGTGGGAGTTCTGTCAAATCTGTTTAATATTGAGATACAGCTGACCCGCTTGTGGTTGGCACATGTTAGTGACCAGGAAAAAAAAAAAGCACAAGTTTCATCTATTGTTGAAGTTTTCAGCTTTGGTTTTGTTAAACAGATAAGCTGCATTTTGTGTTTTCTGCAGCTGAAATGGGTTTTTTGGGGGTATATTTTATTGTCATCCAAATATCCAGTGGCAGTCGCTGTCATATTTGAGACTTAAAAGTGTCCTTAAGGACTTGTAAATTAAGATCTTTGCAGATCAGGTGTCACGAGTGTTAATATGACCTTGTTAACTACTCAGCGCCATTAAACGTGTGATAAATTTGCACGTTAAATGCATACAAGCTATGTGAGGGGGTTGGTTTGGGGCTGGAGATTGGAGTAGCATGTGCTCATGTCTCCTGTACTGTTACTGCCGAGGAACGGAAAGATTCAATTCAAACAAAAAAAGTCTTTCCGAAATTATTGCACACAAATTTCGAGCGACTTGCTGGCAGAGCATATTCTGGTTTGATACTAGAAAACCCAGATGATTTGCTCATCTGTGTTACTTTCGGGGGAGGGCACAACTGCCAGCCATCAGCACACTTGCTCTTGTCGGGAGGGCTCTTGTGTCAGCACAAAAGATAAGGCCAAAAGCACCCAGAGCCAGGGATTGAGTCTCCTTTAATCTGTGTCTGAATGTTACTGGGTGTGAAGTGAGCATTTTGCACTCGAGTGACAGTCACACCCAGGTAGCGACTCTGCGCTTCAGTAACCCCCCTCCCCCCCGGGGATTTCAGTCTGCATTTACAGCCGCGCACCTGCGGCTTCCCAGCACCCTTCCAGACACAGCAGCCCTTCTGGGAACCGCTGTGGCCATTCCTGCACCCAGAGGAGAAGGAGGGAATCAAAGCGGAGTGTGGCTAAAAGCAGCCGGTGATATTTGTCACTCGCTAATGAAAACAGCTCAGCTTTCGATGCTTTTACGGTCTGGTTTTTTCCCACCCCAAAGGCTCTAGGAAAGTGAGGGTTTATATGGCTGTACCTGAAGGAGATGAGAGGAAGAAATATTTGTGCACAAAACGCAATTTACTAACAGCTGGAAGAGGACTGTAGCGACTGCTCCCATCCCTGTTTTCCTTCTTTTAGGCTTTTTGTCTGCAGGAAATGGGGAATACACATTAAAAGTAGGAAATGATTGAGAGAAAATAACTTTCTGAATATATTCTAGATTTTAATTTTTCTGTGTCTTAAGCCAAAACTTTTGTTATGATATATGACCAGGCTCTTTTTCTCCTGACTTGATCCCAGCTGTTAAAACACTAGTTTATAATAGGCATTTAACTGGTATTGGTTCCTACTGGCATGAGCTTGAATTTCTTATTTTTTTAAATACCATTTCATGAGATACCCCTGACTTCCAAGTGATTACTGGATAAAAATATTGTGCACAGCCTGTTTTTCCCCTTCAGTAGCCTTTTAAGTAGTCATTGGCCAAAGGCAAATGACCTGTTTTTTAAGCTTTGGAAACCACTGGAACGATGCAAGTATGTGAGGTATCAGATCGATTCCTGGAAGAGCTGTTTAGAAACCATAATTTGCTGACATAACATAATTTTTTTTTTTCAATCATTACGTGATTTGAAACCCCTCTAGCACAGCAATTTAAAGCAATTTTATTATTGAAATATCATGCATAAGGAAAAAATAAGTCCATTGTTCAAAGATTATTGTACATTTTCTGTCAAATACATTTGGGTACCACTGGGATGTTTTTCCTTTTCCTGAAAGTATATATTAATTTGCCCAAGGAAATGTGGATTTTTATATAACACTGTAGAGAATCAATCTGGCACAGCTGGTAAGGTTTTGCTGTGTATGTAATAAATAGTAGTAAATTGAGGCCAGTGGAGCTTTTGCTGTCTACAGGCCATTTTTTGCATTAATATATGGGGTACCCCATGCATAGAATAGACCTAAAGAAATCCTTATTTCAGAGAGGCCTAACTTGGGTGTCTTCACTGCATACTGGGTTTGTTTTTTTGATGGATTGCACTTGGCTTCTCAAGGCCTATTCATTTAAATAAAGGTCAGTGGCAGTAATCTCTTGGTGCGGTGTCAATCCCAATTATAGTGGAGGTAACAATGAAATGGAACTAAGATTTTGGGGCAGATAAGTTTCAGTAACTTAGCTTGACATTTGACCTAAATAGAAATGCATATTCATAAGGAATGCATTTGAAAATATCAGGATATAAAGTAGTGCAGTGGTATTGAATAGTAGGATGCCTGTAACCAAAATACTGGAAAAATTGATGGTTTTTTCAAATACCTTTAACAACGGTCCATAGAGATTTTAATTTATAATAATAACAACTTGATTCCTATCTGGAAATAATGTGGAATTCTGTCCCTTTTCCACGTACCTGCTCTCTGTGAAAAGACTCCCTAACAGTTTATTTACAATCGAGGTGGGAGAGAAATGGATTGTGGTTCAGAGCACCTTGAGACTGTTGTTGGAGTGGATTTGTTATTTTTCACATGCTGCTCAGTCACTGTCATTATGATCTCTGTAGGACACTGGGTATTGTGTGGAGTATCAGATCCCCTAGTTGGCAGTGGACAAATACTGTTTAGAAGGTGCAATATAGGAAGGTGAAGACTAGCCCAGTGTAAGTCTGGTGGGAGAAGGTAGATTAAAACAGCCAGATGCATTCTGTTACTGTAGAACGATTTTACACATGTAGATATAAAAGCATTATCCCACTGTCTGTAGACATTAGCTTCCTGTTTTTAGAAACTCCCGGTGCATCCCTAAATGTGCAGCCCAAGCCAAGGTTTGGGTAACAAGACCATCTGTTTTATCAATGTGACATTGCAGAGCACACTAGATCTCACGCTGTCTCGTTGCTCAAGCCTAAACAAAAAGGGGGAGATTTTTTTGTGTGGTTGGTTTGGAGTTTTGGTTTTTGTGGGGTTTGTTTGTTTGTTTGTTTGTTTTGTTGGTTAATTTGCTGAGGTTGATAAACACTTTTTGGCACCTTTGTGCCCCATGTTCAGGCTTTTTGCTTCCTTCTTCCCTGTGGTGTATAACTGCAGGGTTATCCCTGATTTTGGCCAGAGATAGAGATCCACTGTAGAGCGGATGAATAGCAAAGACAGGAACTCTGGGACTTCTCCACAAATATAAATTAGGCCCTTACTTGTGATGTATTACGACCTCCTGTTTTTTCTTTATGTTAACAGGATCTGTTTTTACACTAAAAGTTCAAGTCAACGACATCATCAGCCATCAGTACTTGCGCCAAGCGGTGGTAGAAGTATTTGTCAACTACACCAAGACCAACTCTACCCTGACTGGAAACAATGGAGCAGTGTTAATAAGAGTTCCCTACAAACTGGGATTAAGCCTAACCATTGTGTCCTACAAGGATGGCTACATGCTGACACCTCTGCCTTGGAAGACTGCGAGGATGCCAAGTGCGTAAGCGTCTTACAGGCCTATTATTAAACTCTATCTGCCCGTAATTAAATTTCTGCACTAAGGTGTCTGGGTAGTTACTGTCAGCTCAGCGTGGAGTGAAGGCAGTCAGGGGAGACAGTGCATGTCAGTGCACATCTAAAGGTGAAGGATCTGTTAGACTTGTCAAAATTCTTGTTAATATAAGACAGAAAATAGCCCTTTTTAACACTGAGTAGGTTGTGTTGTGATACAGAGTGAATTCTGAGAAACTGTTTGTCTGGACTTAACAAAGAGCTGGTTTGGACAAAAATCCTGTTGACTTGAGTGATTCCTGGAGTGGCAGTGCCTTGCGTCCTGTATAACAGGTATAACCTGTGGGTGCAGCTCCATTTCAGAACTGTTCCCTCACAAGTTTTCCTTTTGGCTATTGCATACTCATAAAAAAGCATATGATTTTGTTTTTTAAAGAAATTGACTTAAGAATTCTAGCCACTTGTTTGTCCATAGAAGGCATGAGACAGCAAACACTCAACAGAATTCTTCCTGCCTAAACACTAAAATTCCTGCTCTGGACAACAGGAGTAATTAATTTATTCAGGCTTCATATGCTCTCTGTGTTGTTTGTTTTGTTTGTTTGTTTTGGTTTGGTTTTTCTTTTGTTTTGTTTTGTTTTTTTAATTGCTCTCTTCAGTATTCCTTCAGAATCAGAGATCTTAGAGGAATTTTTTTTTTTTGGTTGCACACGGTAACAGATATTATCATTTTCCACAGTATACTCGTCTGTGACACTTTCACTGTTACCACAAAATCAAGCTAATATATGGCTGTTTGAAGATACTGTCTTAATTACTGGAAAACTGTCTGGTAAGTTGAGCGTATGCAGGCTATAATTAAACACTTTGTGCTAGCCATCTGTACACACACTGACAAAAATTAGGCATGTTCATATTCTCCTGTAATACCTGTCTCCTGTGAGCCAGATTTTCAGTTAATTATGGATTTCTATGTGAGACTGTGACAAGTGCTAGACTAGAAGTGCACAAATCATGGAGAAAATGGGTGAAAACAGGTTGTTATGCTAAATGGATTTCTGAAGGGCAATAAAAACACTGTTGGTGTGTTTTACCTGGGCTAAGATAAAATATTTCTCTTTTACAGATGCCAAATCTCAGCCAAGTGTTCAATTTCCAAAATTTTTAATAAAGCTTCCCACAAATCACCATATTGCAAATGTTACAGCCTATCTGACAGTGCCAGCGCAATTTTTGAAAGTGGACAGCTTTCTCTATACAACAGGAATTCTTATAAATAAATCAGGTATGTAAATATGTCATTTAAGAATTTTATTTAAAGAAAGAAATCTTCAAATTACAATTCATATCAGTGTGCGGTGTTCCAGAAAAACATCTGCTGAATTTAAAAGAGCCTGAGTCTGCTTCCATTGTACTGTGTCACAAAGCTTTTTTCCTTAGGAGTGAGCTACGAACACATCAGGTGAGTAAGCAATATCACTCTTTTGTTTCATGTAGTACAGAACATAACATATCTTGCTGCACTGAAATACTCCCTCAGAGTCTGCTTTTAGCATAGATCTTCAGGATTTCCTGAGACTGTGGAGTTGGTTTAAACACCTTGAAAATCAGACTATGGCCAGTGTCAAGTAGACTGTAAAGCAATCAGTGAAACTGCAGCAGTTGGGGTTTTCTGCCTTTTCACTGGAGGGGTTGGTTCTAGGAGCTTTATGTACACCCAGCACAAAGGACTGTGAGGAATCTCTTGCTTGGCTCACAGTCAGTCTGTGCAAGCCTGTGTGGGACCAAGTGGTCACTGTGTGTACAGAGAACAACTGTGTTGTGGTTTTGCTCTTGGTCAATTTGCTTTCACACCCCCCACACAATTACTATTAGTTGAGAGAAGGTTTATGCAGACAAAGGAGACTGGATTGGGGAAAATAGTATGAATATTTATTACTAGCAAAATAAAAATAAAAGCTACTAAAGAACTACATCTACAATAATGCTACTTAGGTAAAAGTACTAAGTGTTTACAGAAATACTCCTCCCTCCTCTATATCAGTCCAAGGAGGAGAAGTAGTCCTTTTCTCCATTCTCAGAGTTCCATCTCTTTCTCTCCAGTAACTCTGCAGCACCCTCGTCGCAGCTAGAACTCTTTCTCCTTCTCTGTGTCGGCCTCCAGGGCTGGGCCTACCCGCATCCTGGGCTAAGACCAGAGGCTGGGGGTTACCCAGGCCCTGAAGGTTTCTCTTCCATGGTCTTGCAAGGGGACACTTGCTACCATGAGTCTTCTTCCACAGGGTTACGGGGGATGATGGTTTTTGAGTCCACCCCTGTTCCCTGTGGAGATCCCTTCCCACGGGAGAACAGTCCTTGATAGACCTTTCCGTCATGGGTCTAGCATGGATCCCTTACTTGGATCCCCACATCTCACCTGAGCCGTTCTTGCTCTAGCGTGAAGTTCTCTCAGGGTCACAAATCTCCAGCACAAGCAGCATGGATCTCTCCCTGAGATCCCAAGCTTATCCGAGCCGTCCTCGCTCCGGCATAAGCATCGTCCCCTTCAAGGATTATAAATCTTCAACAGAAGTCTGTCTTATCTCAGTCCCTCTAATGAAGTCTTGGCTTCCTGGTACATCTACAAGCTCCTCTGTGAGCCGTATGGGGGGGTCTTCTCACCCCAACAATCTTCTACAGATAGCATGGATTTATTTTTTTAGTCTTTTCCCTGCTGAAGGGAGAGAGCGAAACAGCCCCTCCTCTTTCGAACTTTTCTCCTCTCTCTTCCGGCTGCCAGCTTTGACCTTGGGCACTCCATTATCTCTTTGCTGGAATTTCTTCTATAGTGTTACTCATCCAAGCAGTCAATCCTTCTTTAAAGTTCTTTTCTTCACTCTCTTACAAGAGAGAAGGGGGCTTCAGTGCTACACCTGACCCCAGCCCAAGCCAGGGGAGGAGTGGGCCTAGCCCCCCTCAGGGCCTGCTGCCTCCCCTACATGGCTCCCAATTTCAACTGTGCCACAAGCCTTCTCTTCCGTTTTTCTTAAATATGTAATTAGCAAAGGTGTTACTGAGAGTTTTAATTGGCTTCTTGTCCGGAAATACACCTGGACAAAACCATTCTCTACCCTAGGGGCTGGCTGACTGGGCAAAACCATGACAAACTGCAATAATGTTTCTCTGTGCATCTGTTTCATTGGAGAAGCAGTAAGTGGTTTCATGAGTCATGACACTGCTATACCACTGGATTTTTTTAGTATTTGTCATTCTATCAGATAGTTTTCTCATTTGCATAAACACAGTAATCTCTGATAGGCTGTACTGTGTGCAGTTCCATCTTTCTTTTGTTCTTTTCTTTCTATTCCCAGTGGATCTGAAGCAATAAACCTCTTAAATTCATTGCAGTGCATGAGAAGGCCCCTACATGGCTTATTTGAACTTGGCATGCTCTCTTCTTTAATATTAATTGAAATAAATTCATCATATATACTGATATTTTGACTTACATATTTTAAAATCTCTCATCTATATTTTACCCCTCCAAATGGACAGCAGAAGGGAAGAAGCATAAGAGAATAAGCAGTGTTTCTCCTCTTTGAGTTTTCCTTTCAATCTGTCTGGCATGTGTTGTAAATTATTCATATACTCCTAAAAGAATTGGTTTCCTTTCAGGGCAGGTGGGAGCTAATTGGTGTCTGATGTGCCAAGAGTTCTCTCACAACCCACTTCAAGCAGCTTGCATGGATTTAACATTATTCTCCTACTTACTAATTCTCTTTCAGCTTCTTTCACCCTCTTGTCATGTCGTGCATTCTGAAGTGTTTGCAAACTGGGGAAAGGAAAACAAACCCTCAGACTGTGTTTGTAAAGCTTTGTATATGAAACATTTCCTTTTGAGTGCTTTGACGAGCCTCGTGATTAACTACTGAGCTAATTGTAACAGCCACTCGGGAAAGTTAATCCTTGCAGGAAACTTTGCACATCTTCAGTTTGATTCAATGTTATGTACATTGCACCTGTAGAAAAATTCTTGCCTTACCTATATTTCACATAAGGTAACTAGTTTGTAATCTGATTATCTGAGGGGACAAACCCTTTTTCTGCCCACTCCCGAACTGTGTTTTGCTTCGTCATTAGTTCTACAGTCTGCATTGAACCTCGAGGTCACAGATCTGTTTCTCTTACAGCACTGGGTTGGAAATGACTGGGTTTTATTTTAATAATAAGATTTTAAAAGTCTAAAAGAAAAGAAAAGGTGTTGTTTATTTTGTTTATTTGACCCAGTTGGTGACAGCTGACTGCATAGCTGGATGTGGAGGAGGACTTGAGTTTAGTTACAATGAGCATAGATTCTTAATTCTAAATATTTTTTTAAAAAATAAGCTGTAAATGGAGAATTACAGACAAGCTATGTCTCACCTTCAGGTTTTAAAAGCATGGAATTAACTCCTCTTGCTGCCATATATGTAAATGTTCTTTTGACTGGGAAAGAACTGAAAGTCAACGGTCCCATTCAGATAACACTCCCTCTCCCCACAACTGCTGTAAAACCAGGAGATGCTGTGCCTGCATGGACATTTGATATGAAAACTGGTAAGTGGCCTGAGTTATTGGTTATTCTGCCTTCTGGCACGTGCCTGTGGTTTTGAGCACGTGGCACTAATATATGAAGTGGTGGTCAACGAGTTTTATCAGGGGTTCATTTTTTGGGTTGTTTTTTAAATAGACTAGCTTGAATTGTTCAGTGAAGTATTTCATGAGTTCAAAAAACTTTGGGAAAATTCATTAGCCTTCCTGTTGCTCCAGTTTTTAATATTCTGCAATTTATTTGCATGGGATTCTTAAGTATTCACGGAATATACATTTTAGGTGATGTTAAATTTTAAGCCTGGTCATTTTGTGAGTGCCTTCTTAAAAGCAAACAAGTCAGAATTGAAGGTTTGGATGCTGTTTCCTAGAGCATAGCTCCAAAGCTCCTTTGACGTTAGAACTGGACTAGATGTTTCCTCAGTTAACAAAAGCAATTGAGAAAGTGAAATGAAGGGGAAATCAGAGTTATCAAAGGGAACAACATAGTCCTTGCAGTGTGCATGCAAAGAGGGGGCTGGGGATTAGTCGTTCTAAACCTTTTGTCATCCCTTCATGTCTAATTTTAGTCAAGAGTGAGTAATGAGCTGCGTACACTTAACCCATTTGGATGTCCTGTGTTAGGTGTGTGTGCATCAGTGTCCTGATTACACTGCACCTTAAACTTGCCATCACACTTGGGCTTGAAAAATGCAGGTGAGTGAAGAGGTGTGTCTGCTCCTTAGTAAGGCAAGAAGCTTTTGTTCAGCTGTTGGAAGGACAGGAGAGGACACCAACCCTAACAAAGTGTTGTTTACGTGTTCAAGAAAGAAACGGATCATCCTAATGAAGAACAATTAACTTTTAGTTCTTTAGTTGAATTTGAATTGAGAACATGCTAATAAAAAATTGTCTGAGCTGTCTTGGGGGAAAAGAGTAAATAGGATAAGTTTTGACATAGAAAGTTAACTCTGTCTAAACACTTGTGAGGCTTCAGAGGGGCAACCGATGGCAAGAGGTGGCATTTTTCATCAAAGGAAGGGTTTTAGGCTGATGTGGTAAAATAGCACAAAGGGTTTTAATTTCTTATTGCCACAGCCACTTTTGCCAGCTCCTGGGCTTATCTGTACCCATGCAGAGTTGTTTTAACTTACTAAACAAAGCTAAGGCAACAATGAATTATATGGAAACTGCTTTCACTGCTTGTGCAGCATTCCCTGAGGTTGCTCCAAGTGTGGTAGTACTGAGACTGTTTCTGGAAAGTGAGCTTTGGTAATTGTATTCCAGCTGCCCTGAATGCAGAATTTATTGGTGGGTATTAAATGTGGCTCCCTTCTTTCTAAATATTTTGCTGCATTAGTGCTAAAAGTACTTTGTGGATTTGAATAAAATCACACAAAAACCAGAAAGCTTGTATTGCAGCATTAAACTGAGAATTATATCCTCCTGTTTGAATGGCAGTAAATCAAAAGAAAATGAGCTTACTCCTAAGTCCATTTCCATGTTTTCCTTAATACCTAGTATTTTCTATGGAGTGTATTGGGGGAAGGTGTAACTTACTGAAGAGAACAGCAAAGATTGTATAACTACTTACAGATTTGTTCAGTCAAGATGGAACTTCTGGAGACCTAGAAAATTGTTTTGCCTTCTGTATGTGGTGTTTTATGCTGGTTTTTACCTGCCTGTAAGTAGCCCACTCTCTGTATTTGGAAAACAATATCTGTGCAGTGTCAGCTTGCCCCAGAGTAGATGGGACAGAGAATTTGAGGATCAGTCTCTCCGTAAGAGAGTTAAGGATGGAAGACTTTTCCAGCAGGTCTTCTGCTGAAAGAAGGGTCCTGGAAGAAAAATGAGTTGCAATTCATATAAGCTTCAGCTTATAGTTTTGATACTGGGGTTATTGCTCTTTTAAAAAAGCTGGTGTTTCCCTCTCAGCTCATGTTGGAAATATAAGGTTGTTTTTATATGAGCTTGTTTTATGTCCTTAGAGTTTCACAGATGGCCCCACAGTAAATGTGTTCAAGTGAGTTAAATGTAATTCTGTCTCTTCTAAGGGATGCTTTATTAATTGTAGAAGCTGGCATACCATAATACCTGTCCTTTAAGTGTCCAAACAGATGGTATAGAATCTGTGTCCTAACAATAGCCCTTCCTTGGGCTAACTGAACTGTTACTGCTTTCAAGACAAACACTGTTTATGCTATTGTAGTTTATCTGATTAAAGTGGTTTCCCACTAAGTTCTGCTAGCCAATATTAAACTTGTGTTCATTTGCTTCAGTTACCTGCTCCTTCATTTTTTAGTCTTGGCCTTCACACATGCTTAAGCTCATTTTTCACATTATCTGTGTGCATATCTATGAAAGGAGTTTATTAGTAGAAAGTGAATTATATTAAGCTTAAGTAACGTTGATGCTTTGTTTCAAAGTAAATGGCCACAGAGGGATATTTGCAGTGAAACTGTGAGCAGAGAAAGTTTGCATGTTTAGCTAAGGCTGTTTAATAAACAGTGTCTAGGCCAGAAGGTTCAACTTTTCTTGTGACCTCGTGCATTTTTGGTAACAGCTCCATGGCTGATGGTCTGAGGGATAAAGGAATTCTGCGTGGCACGTGCAGTATTTTTGTCTATGTCATTGCAGGCGCTTGGGTGAACCGTGGGCTGGGAATGGTGAAGGAAGCAGATGGTCAGCTGGTCTGGACATACACAGCTCAGCACTTGGGCTACTGGATAGCAGCTCCACTGCCTGGAACCAGAGGTACTGCGACAACTGCCAGCCAGGGGACTGTGCCCTAGGGAAATCTAAACATTTAGCAGGACTGCAGCCCTTGCTCATGGATGTACAGCAAGAAAATGAGTCTTGGGTAAAACAGTGCCATCTTATGTAGACTCATGGCTTGTTTTGCACATTAGCATGACGGAATCTATCACAGCAATAGCGTGTCTGATTTCAAAAGCAGCATTCTGGCAGAGCGCTGAGTAGAAAATGCAGACCATTTTTTCTGAGTCAGTTTGGACAATTAATACAAATGTCATTTGGCTGTAAGCAAGTAGATGTCACGGTAAGGCTTTAGTGCTTGAGATGAACCTTTGAAGATGCATTATGTTGTAACCGCTATATCTTTTCTAGTTTGCTGAAGTAGCAAGGTGAAAAGGGAAGGATGAGCATAGTGGCAATGGAACTCAAAATCACTGGAAAAGTACAGTTCAGTTTATTACCTACAGCTCTGCCCATCGAGTGGAATTACTTGTTTTTGAGAACTAATTCTGTTTGGTTTTGTTTGACAATCTAGAATCCATTATTAGTGCAGTGTCCAAGGACATAACAGCCTATCACACGGTGTTCCTTACGGCCATACTGGGAGGCACTGTGGTCATTATCATCGGATTTTTTGCTGTTCTTCTTTGTTACTGCAGGTAAGCAAAAAGAAAAGCTCTAGTGAGCTCATCAGGAAGGGAATTTGGGGTTAATAAAGTAGTCTTTAGAAGCTGAGACTTATTTCCTTAGCATTAATGTGTAGCCTAATATTTCTTCAAAAATACCTGTTATTACAGAACTTCATTTTAAGTTTGTGATGTCATGTTACACTATAACTTCTTAAACAAAGTCCAGTCTTCGGCTTTGTTAGTCAACAGTCTAGGATTTCCTGGTATGCCCTGCAGTCACTTTGCATCTCTTTTGCATAGAGATAAATGTCATCGGACACAAAAGAAGGAAAAAAATACAGCTAGGCTGGAGGTCATCAAAAGAGACCAGACAACATCAACAACTCACATAAATCACATCAGTGCTGTCAAAGGCTCTCTGAAGTTGGAGGATAGCTCACAGCTGTACACACCGAAGATCTCCTCGTACAGCCCTCCCAGAAGGGCGTCCATAGACACAGAAGACAGAAAATCACGGGACAACTTTAAAATCTACACCGAGGATGCTGCTTACCAGTCGTCCTGTCAGACTGGTCAGACAAGAAGTTCAGCCCATTCACTGGAGCCTAATGCTGGAGTGAGGCATCTACAGCAGCAGAAACTCAGTGCTATTTCCCAGGCTCCCAGGGACATTCCAGAGCAAAACAGATACCTTTCCATGAAAGAGGAGATGTACAGGCTTTCCCACATCCCAGAACATCTCATGCATATTTACAATCAACCTATTGCTATCCTCCAGACCCCTGACCTTTTCCACTCCCCAGAACAACTGCATCCTGCTAAATCAGCAACGTTGCCGAGGAAAGGGCCGTTGGTGTACGGCCCCATGGTGGAGCCCATGGACCGGGACAGTTACATGCAGACACTGCCGAAAATGCCGGTGCACTCCCATCCCCAGCCCTCTGCCTGCAGGGATGAGAACAGCGCCCTGGACAGCGAGGAGGGCCTGCCTTCCCAAACCTCCAGCTGGGGCCACTACACCAACAGCCTGCTGGAGTCTGTCTCTGTTCCCGGGACACTGAACGAGGCAGTTGTAATGACTCCGTTTTCGTCTGAACTCCAAGGCATTTCAGAGCAAACGTTACTGGAGCTCTCCAAAGGAAAGCCATCTCCGCACCCCCGGGCGTGGTTTGTGTCCTTGGACGGGAAGCCCATTGCTCAAGTGAGGCATTCTTTCATAGATCTGAAGAAAGGCAGGAAAACAGAGAGCAACGACACCAGTCTGGACTCTGGTGTGGACATGAATGAGCATCATCCTAGCAGGAAACTGGAGAGAGAGAAAACTTTCATTAAAAGTATGCCACATTCCAAGATTCTGTACTTGGAAGATCTGGATCTGAGCAGCAGTGAAAGTGGGACCACTGTTTGCACTCCGGAGGACCAAGCTGTAAGGCACATTATGGAAGGAGGGAATGGGCCAGTCGTAGAACAGCACGATGAGGAAGGCCTAAGAAAAGAATCTGTATCAGGAAGTCAGGAATCTGGTATCCTTTCTGCTAAAAAAAGGGATAGACCACCTCTCACGAAAAGAGATAGCAAAACCAATATCTGGAAGAAAAGAGAGGAGAGGCCGCTTATTCCTATAAATTAAAACACAATGTGCTTTGTGGTGTTGCTCTCCCTGCTAGTTGTTGACCTCTTGGCTGCTTCTGTAATTCTGCAGTGTTGGGTTTACAAGGAAAATGTTATTTTCTAGTATCAAGAAAAGTTTCATTTTTGTAACGTCCAGACTGAGTTACTGAACTTCGAGTGGGCAATTGATATTCAATGTGAATTGAAAACAGGGAAGTGCTACTGTTAAAATTTTGCCTCTCCTAATTTTACTGGCAGCATGGAGAAGGCCCACATTTTAATTAGCCTGTCCTTCTTGGGTACACCTCTGGGAATGCACGGTGAGAAATGTAGGCACCTTTTTGTACCTGTTGCTAATGCGTTGGTAGCCCAGTTAAAGCCATTCCTCAGCCTTGCTCCTAATCCATGTGCCCATCTGTACAGTATTTTATATGTGAACTTTTCTAGGGCTCTGCTATTACTTCTTTGTATCATGTCATGTGTCCCGCCCATTGGTCCCACGACACCAGCAGGGGAGCTCCGCTGGATTTATTGGCAGAGCCCTGTGGCATTGCCGCCCTCCCCGTGTGCAATCCCAAGCAGCAGGGGCAGGAGGAGCGAGTGCATGAGCTCTGTGGCCGCTGCAGTTCGTGGTCCCCGCGTCCCGAGGTGTTGCCCACGAGCCATGGAGGCTGAAGACTGAAATGTGCTGGGAAGTGTCCACGCCCAGCAGAAAAGGACTGGCTCTGGTGGCGTTTGAAGCTGCTGCTGATTCCAGTGTCTTGTTTTGGCTTCTTTCTCAGTTCACATATGCATGCTGTTGGGCCACCTGTGCCCCACAACACAGTCTTGAACCCCCTGCTTATTTACAAGTGAGAGTTTGGTCCATGATGAAAAAGTGCACAAGTCTAGACAAACCATGCCTTTGAAATAGTTTCTTTATCAGGAAAGTTTGCCAGCGTTGCTTTTTATTTTATATTCAAAACAATGGAAGATCACTGGAGGTTTACGTGCCTACATTTTGGCAGCCTGAGCTGCTTTTGTCTAGGTTTGCAGAGGAGTTAAACAGGCTTTAAAAGTTGGGGGGGAGGGGTATGAGCATGAGAGCAGATCGCAAAATTTGGTCCATAATGCAATAGAAATATTACTTATGACTCATCTTAGAGTTAAATTTACCAAAAGTCATGAATGCATGAATTGTAACTAAGATATGTATAGAGGAAGGAAAGGCCATCAGAATATTCTTTTATTTTTAATGTTCATCTTGTCAAAGTGACCATTTCAACTTTGGCTAACAGAAAAGTAGATGCATCCCTTAATGTGCTTCACCTAGCATGCAGGATGTATTTCTGTGGCTTTGAAACTGTTTCCCTGATGAAATAAGTTCCAGCATTTTGGCTTTGGCAGTTTGATTATAAATCATCCTAGAAAAGCTTTATACGTACTTCCCTCATAGCTTGGTTAAAGTTCTGCACCAAGACCCCAACACACGATGCCTTTATGTGAATTGTGGGGTGAGATGTGCTTGCTTGTCTGCCCTGTAGTCCGCTCAAGAGTTAGGGAGTATCCTATGCAGCTGGGCTTCTGAGAATATTTACTCAGGAAATGTCCATGGGAAATATGTCTGTTATGCTGGGATTGTCCAGTGGCCTGGTGTTGTTTCTAGGAGAATATGGAAGGGTAACCAGGATGGTACTAGCAGTGCATCAGTCCAGCTTCTGGTGTGCAGTTGTTCCATGAAAGAAATGTTCCTGTTGAGTTCCAAGTATAAAAATGTGAAATAAGTTTGAGTTAGGTGTAATCAAATTGGCCTAAAGAAGCTGGTTTAGTTATATAATTCATCTACTTCAGAGGTGAAGATGGCTTGTCATATTGGTTCTCTTTTTAGGTAACTGGAATTCAATTGTCCTATGCCAAATACATTTTTCCAATACCTTTTTTTTTTTTTTAAATATGCAGTTTCATTGGATTTTGTGTATGACTCTCTAGCCCCAGATACTGATATTTTCATCCTTTGCTTTGTTATCTACATTAGTAGGAATCAATTTCTATATGCACATTTATTCTGCTGTGACTTTGGAGGTTCAATATTGCCTGTTTGCATCGGTCCTGGTTGCTCCCTTTCTGAAAAGAGACTATTATATATTCCACTGAACATAACAGAAAATCCTCGACAAGCTAATAGTTTTGAGGATTTAATATTAAATTCATATGTCTCTACTTGAAATTTCAGATTTTTTTTCGGTGCGTTTTTTCATTGTATGTACCAAAAAGACCTAATTTCTCAACCTCACTTGTATCATTAAAAAATAAGGACTACTGTAAATGGCTTTATTTGTGAGTTCAAAGGAAGGAAGTTGGGCACTCCGTTGCTCTTGCTCTGCACCAGGATATCTGGTCATCAAAGAAAAAAAGTGCAAAATCCAACTCTGAAATTCTTACAATTATGATTTATATTCAGTATTTGGAGAATATAGTATTTGAGTCTTCATGTTCTAGCTGCATGCTGGAATTTATGCACTGGAAAAACCCGTGACTAGAATTCTTTTGGGTTTCAGATCATTGAAAAAAAGGAGTTTGAGTACACTGAGCTCTAAAATTTTTAATTCCACAGATAACCAGAGAGCACGTGCAATGTGGAAAAGACAGAATATTACAAAGAAATTTGTATTTGTGGTCAAGCTAATGCTTTTCTATATATCTGTATGTGATTTCAACAGACTAACTTATAGGAATCACTGAAATTATTTTTTAGCTTTTTTTTTTTTTTTTCTGTTGGCTCATATGGCACCACAAACAGAGGGTTAAAATGCTGGTGCTAGAATTAGGCCCATACAAAAACTAGCAAGGACTCGTGACACACAGCTCTTGGCTGGAGCTTCTTTCTGCTGCTGGTTTGCAGACTGACGTGCATTTGTGCTTTGGTGGAATCAGTTCTTTCTGAAGAACACAAATGTTGGCAAGAATTATGACTCAGTTCTTCCCTAGGTGCTTCCTGAGCTGCTCAGCTCTTGCACAGGAAGAGCCACATAACAGGTAAATGCAGCTTTAAGTGCAAGGTGTCAGGGAACTACAGAACACTCAGGATCAAATGCGGCCATATATTTAAGGTGAAAGGCAGTTAATAAACTTCAGGAATGTTCCCCCACCGTGGTCACGGTACATGATGTTGAGGGGGCTCTTGCAGAGGGATATATTACTAAATAGAAAAGTTACAAAGCTGACAGCAAAGCTCATGTGATGATTGGGGTCATTATTAACCAACACAGAGCTGGAGATGATGCACCAAAAATAATTCAGGATGTAGGAGCGTTTAGTTGTCTGCTTTGTTTCATGCAGTGATTTGTACCAAAGAGGATGAAGGGAAGGGGCACCAGCCTAAACTCTTGGTGCTTAAGAAGTGACACAGGGTCACCACACTGCTGCTCCAGCACTGTGCAGATGAAGAGGCAGCACACTGCATCTGTTGTCCACGACTGCATATTTGGAAAATCTGAAGATTAATTAGCCTGCTGAAGTGCCTTTTTCTTTCATTAGACTTATTTTATCAGTGGGACACCTGACTATCTGAAAAGCACATTATGGTTTTTTTTTTTTTCTGTTAGCCAAAAAAAAGCTTCAATTCATACAATTATGTAGCTTTTATAATATTTTAAAAGGCAGATCTAGTATTTTTTATGTTGGAGTACTGACTCCTGCATGTTGACAATGATGATGATGGTGGTAATTGTTGTAAGCCCTAGTTTTTGTATCTTATGTTTGAAAAGAAATTTTAAAAAAATTATATCTTTAGCAATCTGAACAGTAGTTCTTTTAAAATGCAGTAGTATCTTTTAAAAATGCACAGGCAGGATTTGATTTAACTTCATATGTCAAGAGCAAGCGTTTTGAAGTCACTGGACTCACAGGTATGAAACTGACTGGGATTTTAACTTCAAAAAAATGAAATTAATATATGTTTATATATAAAAACTATTATAATTATAAAAATCCTTTTTTTTCCCAGCTGCTAACCTTCCTTGCCAGTAGCAGCACAAAGTGTATGGAGATGTTACTTAAGTCTTATTTTCTAGAACCAATTTTTATCTCAATTTGGGGCCTAACCTGTGTTGTTTATAGAACCTAAGCTTCTGGTTTTAAAGTTGTTTTTTTTTTTTTTTTTTAAGGCAGTAGAATTATACAAAACACAGTGCTATGCCTGCAGAGTTAAAAGGAGCATTCTTTTGTAGTAGTTGGCACTAATTTGTGCCACACTTCAAACAGTGGGCAGCTACATTTGTGTTAAAGAATTTATATGCAGGGGGGGGATAATGATTTGAATCTGAGCTTCATTTTCTTTTAAGAGCACTGTTCATTGTGTTCTGATTACAAAACAAAAAAACCTTCACTTTTTGGTGGTTTTTTTTGTGTGTGTGTGTGTGTGTTTTGTTTTGTTTTGTTTTGTTTTTAAGACTGGCGGGGAAAACTGTGTCATTATTTTTCTTGTTAGCACTCTAAGCTTGAAAACTGTTTTACCAAATGAAAATGTTTTTCAGTTAGTTTAAGGCTTACTGAGCATTCCTATATTCCTTCTCCCCAGAATGTCCTGGTACTTTATTAACTGATTTAGTTCCTTTTGAAGCACTTGTTGCACTTCAGCCCGTGTTAGAGCAGTAATATTTTTACATGGTATTGTGTAGAAAGGCAGTTTTCAGTGCTATTTAGAGCATGGAGCTCATACAAAGCCTGGCTCTGGAGGGTGCAAGGCAGGTGAACTGATGGCACTGACTGTGCTCACCACCTTGCATTTTTGGAGCCTTGTGTTCAACAAACACTTCATTACCTTGGCAATCATTTTCAGAAACCCTCTAGTATGGATATTGTTTATGTAAAACATTCTTGATATTCGGCATCCTGGTTTTCAGTATTTCTACCTTTTTATATTTTGTCAGAGGTGTCTTTTCATCTCTATATTTAATTCAGTATCAGTGTATCTGTTGCTGAAAATGTAACTAAGATTTGTAAAATGTTATACCTTATGCAATACAATAAAAATTTTGAAAAGTTACCTGTGCCGTGACTTTGATTTGAGTATCTTGAAGTCGTGTGTTGTTTAGGAATATACATCTCTCAAGATATTTTTTTTTCTAAATATCAATTTAAAAAAAAAAAAAAGTGTATTTCTCTCATTACCATAATTGCCATGACCAAAGAGTGTTATCCTTAAGGTTACCACTTCTAATGCAGTCACATTCTCTGTGCCATTTCTTGTGAAGAAAGACTTCCATATCTACCATTTAATCTGATTTTTGAGTCCTGATTAGTGCAGCTGAGATCATTCCTCAAGCAAATTGATTTTGTTGAAATTGGAAGGGGATACTCAGAGAAGAATATTAGTTCAGGTTTTGTTCTTATGTCTAATCTCTGTCTTCATTCTTTCATTTAGAGACTTTCTGTCACTTGGAGACTTTAAGAACAAGTAAAAGATTATTTCTGAATGTCTGCACATTGCACAAATCAGAGGCATCAATTCAGATAAGATCAAAGTCCTTAAATCCAGAGTGAAGAACAAGACAGTGTTGTGATATAGAAAAGCTTAAGCTAAACTTCAGCATGTAACATCTTAGTTGTATCTAACACTAATTTTTCTCAAGCTTTTTTTTTTTCTATGCTTCACATGAGGAGAATTAGTTCC